ATTTAGATTCTCTACAAAGCACTGTGCTACTCTGCATGAGATAACAAGAGACAATAAAACTGTCATTTTACAAGCCAGAAAAAAATACTATTATAATAAAAAGGAATGGATGGGGAGAATCAAGCTCTCTGGCGCCATCTTTTGGATTGTACAAGTTCTTAACAAAATTCTCTTACATTTTAAGAAAAAATTTACTGGAGTCAAAATAAACCCACGGACAATTACTATTTGTATACTTTTTCTTAAGTCTTATTAGCTTCATCTATTCTGACTCTTCTGTATTAGCAGAAATTAAATGAGCAGAAAGCCAGTGACCTGAGACTGTCTTTGTACTTTGGGTTCCTACATAACAAACCAAAACGTAACCTAGAGAATAATTTTGTTAACAAATAGCTGAGTTTCAGCCAATCACAGGCAACCAACTGATCAGACATGCCCAAATAAGGCAAACACCTATCTGTAGCCAATCAGATAATCTCTAAGTTGCTTCCATGTTCAGCCTATAAAAGGTTCCAGGAAAGCTCTTTCAGCCTCTTCCTGTTCTATATGGTACCTGATTCATGAATCATTCTTTGCTCAAATGAATTTTTGTAAATTTAATTTGTCTAAAGTTTTTCTTTTAACAGATTAAAAAATATATAATTATAAACCATTACATAATACTAAAATTATACTAAAAACTATGAGAATGAAGACATTTAAATAACCATTTTCTGAACATCTTGCACAAATGGTTCCTAAAGTGAGTCTCCCTCCTCACAGCATTCTGTGCGCACTGGAGGGTTAGAAGTAGGCCCCCAAGGATTCAAGCAACCCTGCCCCTATAGTTTTGTTGGGCTCCACCCGCACTTCAGCTCTCTTGGGTTGAAGTTGCACACAAGCGCCTCAAGATTTCTCAGGCAGGCACTGCAAGCTACTGACAGCTCAACACAGTTCTGGGCTTTCGAGGGCAGTACCAGCTGTGACCCCACATTTGTGCTCCACATTGCCATGCCATGGAGCCACAGGTGACAGCAGATGATGTGACTATTTTCTCAGTTCTCCAAGGATAATATATAACTAGTACCATTCTGGAAGCACAGTAAGAAAGAGAATTCATTAGGGCAATAGTTCTCAAACTTAACATGACTCAGAATTACTCGGAAGGCGTGTTCAAAGAGATTGCTGGGCCCCACCCTTAGAGTTTGACTCTGGTGTGGGACCCAAGAATGTGTACTTTTAACACGTTCCCAAGTGCTTCTAATGCTACTATTGCAGGGATATCTTAAAAACTACTGTCTTAGGTCTTAGGCACTAAGACTTAATTCTCTGGTGGAATTCTGGTTAAGAAAGGCTGATATAAAGTATATCTTCATTTGAAAGTCATTTATAAGCTTTAAAGTAAATACAGAAAACAAAGACCAGCGGGAAGAAGCACCAGCAGCATCACCTTTACTTTGGCTATTCAAAACAGTGGTTCTCAACCTTTCTAATGCCACAGCCCTTTAATACAGTTCCTGTGGGTCACGACACACAGGTTGAGAACCGCTGATTCAAAACAACATTATCGAACTGTTTCACTTAAGTTTTTTCTTTAAAAACAAACAGAAGATTCTTGGCTATTCCATATGTAAGAACATATAGAAATACTTTATCAAACTATACATGCCAAAGGAACTAAAAAATATGGCCAGTGAATTCAGGTGTGGTATGCTAGAGCAATGATTCTCAGGCTTCTATAAAGAGATGAAAGTTCTGCCTACGGATACCACCAAAGGGCTTTTCATATCAAAACTAGTCTTGAGTTATAATTTTGAGTGATCTCTTGGTGAAACTGAAATATTTTCAACCATGATATGTCACCAGTATATTTTCTAAGCCCATTCATTCCTGAGAATGAATATTTTTCTTTTATATTTATACTTAAAACCAACTGAATTGGGTAGAAAACTCTTGGTTCCTAACTATTTCCCAATTTTTCAACCCATTTGCTTCTGGCACCTTGTATAACAAGGAATTCTGAAGCCAGATTTGTTTTTTTGTATATGTGGATCATTATGAAAGTTTTGAGATGGACTGTGTTGTGGTCCATTATATTATTTCCTCCTCTCTTTCTTCCCACCTTTCTGCAGGAGTACTAGTCATAAAGAAATGCTCTATTCTACCTCTCCTGACATCATCATTAAACCCTCTCATGTGGTAAGTGTCCATCTTCCCTATACAACAAAGGAAAGGAATGATACACAGAAAGAAAAAGAAGAAGCTGAACAAACAGGCTTACTTAAGTTCCCCTGGTTTAC